TTCTTATCCCTCTGGGACCTCTGCCACCTTTTATGGAAAATATTGCTGGAGGAGGAGAATTATTGTTATGCTGCTGCGTGCACCAGCACCAGAACTGAGGCTGAAGTTGAGAATTCAGGAGATGTCAACAACAAGCTGCTTGCTGACCCAAATTCAGGGCACTCGCTCTTGCCATTCAATTTTTCAGTTACTGGACCCTCAGGGGTTCTTCCCACTAAGAAAAGATTGCATTGGCTGAATTCTTGGGCTATTTCAATAGTGTCTTTTGCATTTCTAACTACTGTTTCTTCGAAGCTGATCCCATTGTCACTTGGAATTTTCTTCTTTAGTTCTCTTGAAGGTTTAGACTCCTCATTTACACAATTTAATAAACTCAGTGATGGGTAATGAATGAGAATGATTTTGAATCTAAGTTTAGTGGGTTTTACGGTTTTGAATAATAACTTCATTTCACATAAACTTTAATATGCTTTAATTTGGCAATCAAAGAAAAAGAAGTAAATTAAAGAAACAATACTCCAACATTAAAAACTTTGGAAAAGCTATGCATTCATTTCATCGTGTACTTCACACGAAACAACAGCTAGATTCAATGGAAGCACTTTATTCTAGGCAGAATTTTAATGAAACCAACTGAAAAGCTGGCTATAACATGGTGTGCTGTTGCTGTACATTCCACGGCGGAGTGAAGCTAATCAAATTGATTCTTTTTCCTCCTCTGCCACATTTATGGAAGTTGATGGAGGGAGAGGAGATCTGTTGTTATAGTGCTGTACCACCAGTACTGATGCTGAAGTTGAGAATTCAGGAGATGTTAACAGGCTGCCTACGGGCCCTAATTCACTGCCCTCACTCTTGCCATTCAATTTTGCAACTACCTGACCCTCAGGCGTTCTTCCCACCAGGAAGAGATTGCATTGGTTGAATTCTCGTGCTGTTTCGATAATATCTGCAGCATTTTTCACCACTCTTTCTTCGTATTTGATTGGGCTCGCACTCGAAATTTTCTTCTTGAGTTCCCCTAGAATTTGATCGTCCATTGATGCTGTTGAAGGTTTGGACTCTTCGTTTGTTATCTCCTCTAAAATTTCAAGAGATTGCAGGAAGCGAATTACAGTTAGTCTGATACCAGGATGCTCCGCCATGCGTGCAGCATAAGCAATGGCTTCGTGATCATCACGCCCACCAAAGAAGAGTACAGTTGTGGTGGAAGAAACATTGCTTGCAGATACATGGGTGGTTCCACCAAGGCCACGGTCAACCAAGATACCTACTGAGCACGGTGCATGCTCAAGAACCCTCTTATTGATCCAACGGAACTCAGTTCGAGTAGTTTCCAATGCTCCATCCAACCTCTGGTGCTTGTGATATGGGAGAAGAATCATTGCTACCTTTTTACTTTCTGCACTGGTACATATATCCTCATGTATGGTGGACATTCGTGATATTGCAGTCATTGGGCGGACAGAGACCCTGCTTAGCTGCCTGAAAGCTTCAAAAGCAACAACAACTTGATCACCATCTGACTGCTTCCCCTTATTCCAGAAGGGTAGCCCATTCTTTCTTGCCTTGTGAACCATGAGAATTGCAGATGACCTCTCAGAGAGCTCCATGAGATGCATAGCATAGACGCAGAGTCCTTCCCTCTTATCAGTTCCACGTGAAGCCTCAATGAGATTAATCAGGGTGGGGATGTTTCTTGCACTGTGGAAGCAGGCCAAGATTCGAAGCTTGGTATTTGTATCTTTCCTTTCAATTGTTTTGTACTTGTAAACAAATGCACTCCTCCTTTTAGCTGGCTTATATACTGCCATTACAAGGGGGGTTGTGATGAAAGTTGTGAAGATAGCCATCAAAACCATTATAGCAAATGTTTGATCATTCAATACCTGTAATAATATCAAATGGCTAAAATGATTAGCTGCCAACCTTGACGTATTGAAGTAGAAATAACATGCAAAACTTTAATCTGAAAACAGCCAACAACTAAGTTGTTTTACCTTTCTTTCTTTGCCAATATTTAGGACAATGAGCTCCACCAAGCCTTTAGTATTCATCAGGAATCCAAGGGCTAGAGCCTCCTGAAATGGCACTCTACACAAGAGGGAAACGGTTACTGTGCCAACTATCTTTCCTAAACACGCAGTGGTTATGACCAGAACAAGGAGACCCCAAGATTGAGCCCCTCGAATTGTAGCTACATTTGTCTTCAATCCACTGGAGACAAAGTACAGAGGTAGGAAAAGACCAGATACAAGATCTTCAACCTTTTCCACGAGAGCACCAGCAAATGGACCTTCCTTGGGGACAAGAACCCCAATCACAAATGCACCAAAGAGGGCATGAATTCCAATGGCATCAGTAACAAATCCCGCTGCCAAAACTGCTGCTAAAGTGGCACAAACATATAGTTCTTCAACTGGTTCTCCCTCAGGGCAACGCTGAGCCATCCATTTGAATATAGGAGGAACAATAAATGTGCAACAGAGGACAAACCCACAACCACATAGAAGCACCCACAATGATACGAGTGGGGAATGAGCAGTTCCTGATAGGGCAATAGCAAGAGCAAGCAGAATCCACGCAGCCACATCATTGACAGCTGCTGCTGACATTGCTATTCGGCCAACATCAGTAGTTAAAAGCTTGAGTTCTGCCAAAATACGGGCCAAAACAGGGAAAGCAGTAATAGAAAGGGCAACTCCCATGTAGACAAGAAATGGAGCTTCCTTCACACTTTTAGAAATAGTTGCATGAAGGGTGAATGATGTGCCTATTCCTAACACAAAGGGAAGGCTAATGCCTGCAACAGCTATGCTGAGAGCTTTCTTTCCAGTCTGACGGAGGGATTTAGGGTCTAACTCCAAACCTACCAGGAAAAGAAAGAAAAGAAGACCAAGATTGGCCAGAGTATCCAACACTGTGAGGCTTCTAGCTGGAAAGATTGCATTCAGATACTTAGTGTTTCTACCGAGAGCAGATGGGCCAAGCAATATTCCTCCCTGCGAACATACAATGAAAATTGAAAAGACTTTTAAGTTAATTTTGTCTCTGATGCTTTCTCATTACTCAAACACATTCACATGGGCTCCAAACATCCGACAAATTAACTCTGCAATCTTTATTCAACAGAAAAAGGTATTGGTTGAAATCAATTGTCCCAAGAATCATATAGTACAGTAGAAGTAGCACTATTCTGATTTCCTTTCCCACATCATCATGCACAATAAATTCTATCTCCAAAATCTTTCTTTCAAAGATATTCTCTTTAAAAATTCAACTTATAAGTTGCTGGAGCACTTGCAGAGGTTTGAAAATTCTTTAAAGCTAGCCATTGATTATTCCCACTATAGAGTACAGAAAACGGGAATATATTAAAAGTTTAAACCATATACGTATATAGTAATAAGCAAATCATAAAATATACGTATTGGAAAGGAAAAGAACTAAATAAGATTCCTCGTCATTAAAAAAGAAAAAGAAAGAAAAGTGGAATTAGATGCCCTTGAGATGCAATATGTAGATCAAGATAAACATAAAAGTAGTTACACCACATGTGTCATATGCAAAATAAACATAAAATGTTAGGCATAGAAAAAAAGAAACTTAAAAAACATGTCTAAGAAGAAAAGTTACTCACGACAATCTCTGCGATCACACGAGGCTGGCGTAGAGGCCTTAGAAGAAGAGCAAGAAATCGGGTGAGAGCAACCACGAGACATATCTGAAGGATAGCAAGAGGGAGTGCAAAATCAAGAGGATTGTCACCCTGGAACACCCCATTAGATGTAGCCTTCATGGGCGGAGGGCATGAACTCTTAGCTGTGGTATTTCCGGCCATTTTGCACCAAAGACCACCTCAACCTCACTGAGTTTTCTTTCTCCCCGTTTCAGCTCCTGGGTGACAAAATAAGAGTCCAGGAAGAAGAGAGATATGTACACATGTCTAAAACAAAAGTCAACTACGCTGGCTATAACTCTATCGTGCCCATTTATGTGACCATTAAAAGCCTCCTCAAATAGAGGTGGCAGACCAATTATTATTTTACCATGAAAAAGATATGAAGGAAAAATGCATTTGTCTACCTCTATTTTAAGAGTAGTGATTAAGATGTATTAAATGAACCTGGCTCCTGACGGCTCATCATCAAACCTTAAAGCATTTTGGTTAATTAATCAGGGTTTTAAATCTCATTAATGATTAAAAAAATCCTTAAATCCTTATCAACATTTTAAAAATAAATTTTTTTTCATTCTTTAAATTGTAAATGGTTAAAAAATATATA